TCAAACATTTTTCACATCATCTGTGTTTTATGAGTTAATCACGCATTTGTAGGTCCAGGATCACATCAGCTCTGGATGAAAGAGGGAGAACACTGTCAAATACTCCATGCACTTCATAAAACATCTGCACATCATGAGATTGCCTGATTTACTCGACTAATTAAATAAGCAATGGACAAACCTGGTAAGACTCTCTAGAAGAACAGACAAGAAGCAGACGCTTTGTAAAGGTTGGGTAATGATTTTATTAATTTTATTATTATTATTATTATTATTATTCATGCTATTATTATTATTATTTATTGTAAATAATAATGTCTTTTTTGTGATTAAGTGTCTCACACTGAATTTTTTCTATATATATTTTTAGTTTTCTGGCGAATAAAAAAAAAAAAATCAACAACAACAATCCAATCTAAATAAATAAAAAAATAATAAAATAAATAAAATAAATAAAATAATAAAATAAAATAAAAAAATAAAATATTAGGCACATATGCCAAAACTTAAAGACATGAAACAATCTGGATGTGGCTGGCATTTAAAGTTGCAGGAAAAAGTATGTGAACCTTTGCACGCACACTGTGTTTGTTATGACAGCTGTTCAAATTTGATAACCAACTGATGCAGAAATCCATGTAAATCTAAGTGGTTCACGTGTTTTCTTGCTACGGTTGCTTGTAAACGGATCACACCAGAAGGATGTAAATAAATACCAGCTGTGAACCAAATTCATAATAGTGTTTGCTGCTCCCTTCATCCGCCACTCATGTCTCCTCTGATCCAATGAGCTTTGATCAGGCCTGCCGAGGCTCCGCCCCCACAGACTGGAGTCTGATGATTGACAGATCAGAGGGCTGAATGTGAGCGGTAACGTCAGTTCTTTTACATCTCAAATTAAGTTTTAAATCAAGCAAAACGCTGCACATGACTAGTGATGTACGACTTAAATGATGTGGAGAGAAACTAAAGGCGTGAGCTCAAATATTATATATGAGGAATATCCCAACACAAAAACAGCTGAATTGACACTCAGGTTTAGTCAATAATGTGACATACAGCATCCTGGCAGATCAAAGCTTCTGTCCATTACAGCTGGTGATGTTTGTCTGTGATGTTCATCCATCACAGCAGCGTCAGGAGAGCTTCAAACATCACTGACAGGCACAACACAGTCTGACATGATAATAAACATACATGCACCGCATTCATAATCATGTTGTGTGCATTACTGCTCAAAAGCGTAAAGAGATTAATATTTGTATTCAGCAAGGAAGCATTGAATTGAGGGTAAAGATAACAAAAGATTTATATTTCCAATAAATGCTGTTCTTTTGAACTTTCTGTTCATCTGAGAATCCTGAAAAATAAAATGCATCACAGTTTCCACAAAAATATTAATGTTTTCAACATTGATAATAATCAGGAATGTGTATTGAGCAGCAAATCAGCATATTAGAATGATTTCTGAAGATCATGTGACACTGAAGACTGGAGTAATGATGCTGAAAATACAGCTGCGCATCACAGAAATAAATTACAGTTTAACAGATATTCACATAGAAAACAGCTATTTTATTATATATTATATTATATTTTTGATCAAATAAATGCAACCGTGGTGAGCAGAAGAGACTTCTTTCAAACATTTACAAATCTTAGACCCCAAACTTTTGAACGGTAGATTATGTACGTGTTCAAAATGACATATTAAAGAATTAAACGTTTTGTTATGATCCCAATATGAGATCTTCCCAGGGGATATTTTGCTCTAAACATGGTGGAAATAAAAAACTGTACGTAATGTGATCCAGACCATGATGCCCAAACAAAAGCTCATGGAAAACTGCGTCGCAAACCTCAGAGAAGTGTGAGAAAACAACACTAGTGAACTTCCAAATCAAATGTCTACACGTGGTGTAGACGAACATCCTTGTGTGTTTTTCTCTCATTCTGTACCATATTAACCCTTGTTAATATAACACTTAAAAAAAGTTACACATAGGTCCATAGAGGACAAACACGTCTATGCCAAAAAACTGTCATAAAAATTTGAAGCTTGGGAGCACAGAGTTAAGTTTGGTCTCATTTTAAAGAAGACCCATGGCAGATTATTGTTGAAGTAAAAAACTTTAAAAAGTGAAACAATTTTATGACACACAACACATTTTTTTTATGACACACAAACCACACTCTGACATCTATACCAACACAACCACACAATTATAGCTGCATTATTTATCCAATTGGCTCTATAATATGCAGAAGCAGAAAACAGGAATAACTCAAAAAATGAGCTTTCAGTAAGGTTTTGTTTGGGCGCAGTACCAAATTTTCCCCATTAGATGCCAGCAAAACTCCGCTGGTGCACATTTTATGACACACAACACATTTTTTTTATGACACACAAACCACACTCTGACATCCATACCAACACACCCACACAATTATAGCTGCATTATTTATCCAATTGGCTCTATAATATGCAGAAGCAGAAAACAGGAATAAAGCGAATATTTGCTTTATAGGCCAAACCTGAAAAAATGGCACCATCTGGTAAAAAATAGTAAAAAAATACAATTTTAAAGCCTTGCCAACAGAATGAAAGCCTATTAACAAAAATTGCATAATTTTACAGTTTTAATGGGTTTCAATGGGGACAGTTTTGTCCTTAAGGTCCTGAGAGAAACCATTTTTTGTACCTAGTGCAAAACAGATTTATTAAAGGAAATTTAAGTGAAATAGTAAAATTCCAATAAAAATACACATCTGTGCCAACATGTATGCAGTTGGCAATAACACAGGCAAAATCATCAAAAAAAACAAAACTGAAAAGGACAAAAATGTCCAAAAGGTCGCACAAGGGTTAAACTAACCACCAACCACAGACAGATGACTGGTGCTGAAGAATAACTAAAAAACAAACAAACACAACAACAACACTAAAATGCATCATGAGCTGATGGAGAACGAGCGCGTCACTGATGAGAAACAGAGAGATTAAGCCACTGGAACGAACGCATGAGAGAGAAACTGAGTTTACCCACACAGACACAGAGAGATGAAGAAATACAGACAAACTGACTCATATACTCATACTTTTATAACAAGCAACAGATTTTTGTAGGCAAACAGGTGTAGTGTATTTCTTTTTTTGCTCAGTTCTTTTAAATGTCACAGAAACACATAAATGTATTTGCACAGGAATCATAATCACTGAATCACATACTTGAAAACTGCCTGCCAGTGTCAACAATCAACTTAAAGGAATAGTTCACCCAAAAATGAACATTTGCTGAAAATGCTCTCACTCTCAGGACGTCCGAGAGTAGGATGAGTTTGTTTCTTCATCAGATTTGGAGAAATGTAGCATTGCATCAGATGAAGAAACAAACTCATCCTAATCTCGGATGGCCTGAGGGTGAGAGCATTTCAGCAAATGTTCATTTTTGAGTGAACTATTCCTGATGCAGCATTTACACAGAACCAAAGCCACAAGCTTCGTGCAGTTGTAAATGCGACTATAAAGCAGTATTTTAATCAGTTACATCTATAACAAATGTCTATAACGATGCAACATAGACATGCTTTAAAAAACAACAAAAAACAGTGTTGCCATTTTTATCAGTGCATCAAGCAATTTACAAGTTTTCCACCTAAATAAAAGGACAGCACTTGCATTGAATGTTTAAAATGACATTCTCCCAAATCAGATGAAGACGCTGAAAAACTTCCCAGCTTAAAGTTGAGAAGCTATCCAATACTTTCAGTCGAGGAAAAGTAAAACAAAAACTACATGGTGCACCTAGAGATGTAATTCCTCCGGCGCTGAGCTCAGCACTAAAGTTTAAAATAAAATACTGGCATGTTCTTTGGCTTCAGCTCAAATGTTCTTCATCATCATCATCATCTGAAAGGAACATTTTGGTCCCAATTCAGTGCAGTTATTGTTAAAACAACAAAAAAATAGACCACCACAGCAGTGACTGTAAGAGCAGTATGTTCTGTACTTCAGCATAAATATCTACAAGATCTATTTCATCATTCTTTCATATTTATCATATTCTGTTTTTGCATTAGCATGTGTTAATTTGAATTCATCTGAAAACACTGAACTTTCCATCTGCACTTGAGCCAATGCAGAAAAACAAACACTGAGAAAAAGACACGGACACATTTCAGCCGCACAATAAAGACGTTCTGATGCATGGAATTGCATTAAAATACAGTCTGCGGGTTTCGTTTCCACTTAAACGAGTAAAATAGCTAGATTTGCAAACTGAGTGGACTTTGAAATTCATAACTCTTCCTAACCAGATCATTAATAGTTGGCTGTATCTTTGTTTCCTAGATGAGATTTTGCATGCGCTCTGATTCGCACATTTCAACTCTACAGATTTCTAGAGTTTGCCTGCAGCTCCAGATGAGTCCTGGTCAGTCCGGCTCATCTTTCAAACCATCACCTTCATTTGATGTGTTATATAGCGTAAGGAATAAAGATATAAACTAGTCAAACAAACACGAAAGCAGGACCGTAAACTACAAGCGGCACAAAATCATATGATTGTCTCAGTTTGAATCAAATTTCCATTTAGAATGATTGAGAACATTAATATCACTATAATAACCCTCAGTGTCATTTTAGCATTATTTATGTAAAATTATATTATTTATTCATATTTTGAATTAGCTTTTTATTTTTATATTGCTATATGTGACCCTGGAGCACAAAACCAGTCATAAGGGTCAATTTTTTACTTTTAATGTGCTTTTGCCATTTTTATTATTTTTTAAACCTTTTTATTAACTTTATTTTCAATTATGTTTTAGTAACATTTTTCATTTTTAATAAAAAAAAAAAGTTTAAGTTTAGGTTTTTCATCCAATATTTATTTTATTTTATTTTATTTTAGCTTTATTTCAATGACTAAACACTTGTTTTAGTTAACAGCATCTGACGTTTTAGTTAACGAGCCATAATGACACCCTGCAGTGATGCCGTACATTAGAGATATTATTAGAATTCAACACAAACTTTCCTCAAGTCTCCTTAAACCAGGTTCCGCAGTTCCATCCCAAAATCCATAAAGAAACGAGAAGTGTAACAGTGAGCGATTCGATTGGCTCGGGGGCATGTCAATCAAACTTTGCTGGCCTATAAGGAGTTTGGTTGGAGCTCGTGCCAGCATGCCGTCTCCACCTGCGGCCTGCTGCACATCTCACTCCAGTGCTGGTTTCCCGCTTCAGAACCTCCGCAGCCAATCAGAACACGACCCAGAATGCAACTCTTCGTGTACAGCCTTCCCTGTCAATCAAAGACAGAGTGATGTCATTACTGTAAAATATCAAGACACATCAAAGCGTGACTCTCAGACATGTGATATGAGTCATATAACAGCAGATATGCACTGAATGGTGAAGCTCTTCTCACCTGCATCACGAGGAGCTCCAGGAGCAGCGGCAGCCCGCTGATATCACCTGCCGGCAGGTCAAACAGAAACGGTGCGTTCCAAACCGCGTTCGCTCCACTGGCACCCTTCGTCTCCTTAGTGCTGATGACTTTACCCTCCTGACGCAGGTTGATGATGACATAGTGATCTACAGAAACAGACGGCCACTCTGAATTCAGCACGATTGATTAATTTAGTCTGAATATGAGGATTTTACATGTAGACAGGAAAATTACATTTATGCATTATCAGACGCGCTTATCTGAAGTGAATATCTATCTATCTATCTATCTATCTATCTGTATTTCTGAATATCTATCTATCATTAGTTAGTTCTATCTATCTATCTATCTATCTATATCGATCTATCATTAGTTCTATCTATCTATCTATCTATATCTATCTATCATTCGTTCTATCTATCTATCTATCTATCTATCTATCATTAGTTCTATCTATCTATCTATCTATCTATCTATCTATCTATCTTTAGTTCTATCTATCTATCTGACGAGTGTTGGGGTAATGAATTACAAGTAACGCGAGTTATGTAATCAGATTATTTTTTTCAAGTAACTAGTAAAGTAACGCATTACTTTTTTAATTTACAAGAAAATATCGACAGCTGTCATGTCGCCACGTTGAGAGAAATCGGGAGTAAGAGCAGAGGCATTGTGTGCGCTGTGTGAACATGATGTTACTGTAGTTCTACTGTAGAGCTGCACCCTCTACTGTACAGAAGTAAATTTACATTTCCTTCAGCCTGAGGCCTATTCATTTCATTTTTGGTGTGAAAGGGCTTTTACATTTGCCAAAAATAGATTTTTTTTTCATTAAACACAAACATGCAGTTTAATTCACATGTAAATATCTGACAGCTGTCATGTCGCCACGTTGAGAGAAATCGGGAGTAAGAGCAGAGGCATTGTGTGCGCTGTGTGAACATGATGTTACTGTAGTTCTACTGTAGAGCTGCACCCTCTACTGTACAGAAGTAAATTTACATTTCCTTCAGCCTGAGGCCTATTCATTTCATTTTTGGTGTGAAAGGGCTTTTACATTTGCCAAAAATAGATTTTTTTTTCATTAAACACAAACATGCAAGCTTAGGCCAGATGTGAAAAAGCAACGCAAAAGTAATGTAACACACTATTTTCCATAAAAAGTTACTAAGTAACGCAATTAATTACTTTTTTTAGGGAGTAACGCAACATTGTAATGCATTACTTTTAAAAGTAACTTTCCCCAACAATGTATCCGACTTTGATGAATAAATGTACATTTCCTGTATACATGTTTAATATTCATGTTCAGACACTTTTTTCCAAAGTGCAAGAAATGTATTCATTCAGACAGACAGACCTGGAGTGCCAGGCATCCTGGTGAGTTTGGGGAGGTTCTCAGCTTTCCTCACCATCACCTTCATGCGATGCGCCAGCGTCTGATACTGCAGCAGAATCAGGATCTGACCCAGAAAGCGCACCGGACAAGCAGAAGCCCCGACGTCCCCCACTGCATCCTGGGAACTCTGACTCTGAATGGACACAAACACGTGATGTGAAAGAGCTGATAGGAAAATAAAAGATGCATTTGAGATTTATGATGAATTATAATTACTATACTGTCTGGAGTAGATGTGAGGCATGTTTGCCAAGCATCTAGACACGGATCTTTCCAGATCATGAATGTTTCTAGCACTTTCCTCAAATAACATCTCCTCGTAATCGTATTAGACTCTCAGAAGAAGCACAAACTCACTGCCCAATTACATCTGAACATCAGCATCAAACGCACTGAAGTGTTTTCAGTGTGACTCTGAGCCCACACTGAATCAAACCCAGCATCTACTGGAACGAGACGTGTTCATTACGTAACGTCTATTCATTATGCTGACAAAACTTCAGCAAACCAAAACCTTCAACTGCAATTCCAAGAGTTTTAAAGCTACATCCACCAAATTCAGACCACACTCAATCTCTCTCTCACTCTGTCTATATATATATATATATGTATATATACAGTATATACTGTGTGTATATATACTGTATATACAGTATGTCAATATCCAATCCATCTGAATATCTAAATATCTATCTGAATATCCGAATTTCTAATTGAATATCCTAATATCTATCTATATATCTATCTATCTGAATATCCGAATATCTATCTGAACACTTTAATATCTATCTGAATGTCCGAATATCTATCTATATATCTGAATACCCGAATATCTATCTGAACATTGAATATCTATCTATCTATCTGTCTATCTATCTGAATACCTATCTGAATATCCGAATATCTATATATCTATCTGAACATTTGAATATCTATCTTAATATTTCTCTATCTGAATATCTATCGGAATATCTATCTATCTGAATATCTATTTATCTGAATATCTATCTGAATATTTCTCTATCTGAATATCTATCTATCTATCTATCTTAGCAACCACCTGCCAAGGCCTACACACCTTGAAACAACAAATGCTCACTGCAAATAGAAAACAATTTAAAAAAGGCGCCTCTCACTGCAAAAAATGTGTTCTGTCTGATCGGGTCCTAAGACTTTAAACTACCCTTCAAACCATTGTAGAGTTTCTTGTCAGGCCCACATTCACAGTTTTTCTAGTTCCTCCTCTTCTCTCTCTCTCTGTATTTCTTCCTCTGCTCTGTGATGCATCTCTGCTGCATTACTGAACTCTGCTGGCTCGTGTCCATCTCTCTGCAGGGCACAGCACACTGGCTCCAGGCTACACTAACGCACCACTTGTTGGCACACTAGTCACGCAGTCGTGCAATCCCACTGCTGTAGCGTTTGTGTTATAATGACAGCAGACAGAAACCTTTCCAGATCTCACAACTGAGAAGCTCACATACTATTTGCATCCCTCTACCATGGGTTCAATTCCCAGGGAATGCATGAACTGATAAAATGCACAGCTTCAATGCAAAGTCAAATTGGATAAAAATGTCTTCCATTACTGTACTATATTCTACTGACATCATATGTTATGTGGCTGTCAATGGAAGCTCCTCTGGGCATCATCCTCTTGACTGACTCACTCGAGCAAAACTGCATCATTTGATGGATTCAGCAGTAATCAAACACAAACTATGAGGTCAAATAACACTTTTGGTTCTTCTTAACCAGTTGAGTCATACTGAAATCACAGCCAATCAGGGGTGCGTTTCCCAAAAGCAACTATGGTAGTAAGTTCCGTCGTTACCAACAGAGTAGGATTTTGGATGAATGAGATTAGGGTGGGACAACTGTACATGTTTGTCTGATTAAAGGCTGGAATACACTGCATGACTTTTGCGGTCTGGTTGCATCAATGCTAGTTGGCAAAAGTCAGAGTCAGTGCTGCATGTTTCTGCATGAGTTTATTGTTATTGGAGCGACTTGAGAGGTCTGTTAGTGTGTGATCCTCAAGGATGGAATACACTACATGATTCAAAAATAAAAAATGTAAATTGCAACTTTTTATCTCACAATACTGATTTTTTTCAATCAGTGTTCACATCTCGCAGTTCTGACTTCTTTTCTCAGAATTGTGAGTTTGAATCTGGCAATTCTGACTTTAAAACACAATTGCGACTGTATCACGCAATTACGAGAAAAAAAAGTCAGAATTGTGAGATGCAAAAGTTGCAATTTACATTTTTTATTTTTTTAGTGGAAATAATGGGCTTCCACAGGAATCAGAGTCAAAATCACTAAAATCTGCTGACTGGCTCTATTTCAGCAACTACCGTCAACTAGTCCAGACTGTAAATCTGTGCAAAAGTCAAGTAGTGTATTCCAGCCTTCAGTCGTTTGGTGTACGATGCACTGTAACTAGGACAGGGCGGTATGACGGTATATATCGTTACCGCGAATTAAAGTGTCTATCGTTAGAGATTTTGCTATATTGTGTATTCCGCGGTATGCAAATATATCTGCATAACATAGTACGCTTAAACGTTATATACACCTTTTGAGTGATAAGGAAACATGCATGAATGAGAAAATAAAGAGTGGGACACACGTGGAGTTATTAAGTGCAATAAGCAGTGAAAAAGAACTCAATGCGGTTCTCATGCTGACTGACACACACTCAGAAAGCGCCTCTCTCAGCATGTGATCGCGAATTTGGGACTTGCATGATGTTTAATAAAGTTATTAAGTGTAATAAGCAGTGAAAAAGAACTTATTCCACTTCTCGCGAAGTACGAAGTACGTGCACCGAAAGCTCCTCTCTCATACCACTGGAGCCGGAGCAGCACTTTTCCACTCAAACAAATCCTAGTTCCGAACCGGCCTTGAAACCTTGCTGGTCTCTAACAAGGGAACCTATAACATCAGTAGATGGAGTTTCCACTACAGACCGCAATTTGAAAGGAGCCATTCGGCTTGTTTGAGATGCATCGGTGCTGCGCCG